ATAAATTCTGCTACTGGCTGTTTACATACATTAAAAAAAAAAAAAAAAATTCCAACATTAGCTTCTACGATTAAAAAATAGACTTCGTTCCCGCCATTATTGTATTATTTGTTTAGAAATGTTTTGCATTGAAAATGGCGTGGGGTACTAAAGAGAATAGGATTGCAGTACAAAGTAGGTAAGGAGCCAGCCGATATTTTTGATACATTGAAAAAGCTAGGGATTAGTCGAATGTTTGTGTATGTTATCATGCAAAGGTACACTGAAACCATGTCTGTTGATGACCGTGGGAGATCCAGCCGACCTCGGTCTATTCGAACAAACCAGGCCGTTAATGCAGTCGAGGCCAAAATTCATCGAAATCCCATATGGAAGCAGAAAATCCTTTCCAGAGAAATGAGAATCCCACAGAGGACACTTCCTCGGATTATCAAACAAGACTTAGGTCTAGGGGCTTACCGAAGATACACAGCACATACTTTAAATCAGGCACTAAAACAAAAAAGAGTCGAAAGATCAAAACAAATGTTACTTCGATACGCGGACGAAAAACACAGAAAAATTATCTTTACCGATGAAAAAAAAATTACAATCGAGGAGCACTACAACAAACAAAATGATCGAGTGTATGCACACAGCTCTTAAGAACCCCCCGAGGTAGTGGCCAAAATTCAGCGAGGCCATCATCCAGCATACGTCATGGTTTGGTGGGGTGTCTTCTACCAAGGGGTTACAAAACTCAATTTTTGCGAATAACGAGTGAAAAGTTCAGCCAAAGTGTATCAAAATACCGTGTTAGGAGCGATATTTAAACCTTTCAACAAGTCATTCCAACAAGATTCAGCCAAATTTGCCTTGAGCAAAATTTTCCAGACTTCGTAAAGACTAATGATTGGCCATTGGCTAGTCCGGACTTAAACCCTTTGGACTATAAATTGTGGTCTGTGCTAGAGGACATGGCCTGCTCTAAGCGTCATCCAAATATTGAGTCCCTCAATAAATCTTTGGAGGGAACAGTGACCAAGTTTCCAATAGAAAACGTTCGTTAATCCATCGACCCGACCGTTTAAAAACGTGTATTAAAGCTAAGGGTGGACATTTTGAATAACTAGTTCAGTACATTAACATATCACATATAAAACTTTAAAATAAAATATTTGCTTTTTAAAAATTAACGGATATTTTCTTTGTAACAGAACTTATAGCTAGACTAGGTATATCTCAACCCACTGCTATACTGAGTCTGTAACAATGTGAAAGAGAGACATTTCGGAATAAGTTATTTATATTTACATTTAACAGACACACTTTCCCATTTATATTAACAGCTCAATAAAGAGAAAACAAAATTTTGCTTGAAAAACCTTTTAGTTAAGCATTTCCGATGTACGTTGGTATGATATTATTTTATAATACTTGTATTAACCAGAAAAGTCTGATGCTGATGATGACTATTGCTTATTTCACAAATGAAATTGTGCACAAATCCGATTAAGCAAAATTTTGGCATGTCCATTATTCATTTTATAGCTGCGTTTGAACCAAATGTATAGTCGCTGCCGATTGTCTATTTTGCAATTTATTGCATTTCCAGACATAATCATATTTTTTGTTAACACCAATACGTGTTGTTACGTTATGCATAGAAGTGACAAAGTCACTGATACTCGGTAGCAGATTTAGTACTGCGTCATTTCATTACATGTATCGGGCACCGACTAAATACATAGTTGAATTTGATAGCATATTGTATTCTCGCGCTCAGACTTATTCTTGAAAATATACAACTGTTTTGTTAACTTCACTGGTGTTTTGTACTACGATGTATTGCAGGCATTTTGTGAATGAAAAATACTCTAGTTTCTGGGGCATACAGAGTGCCTGCTCATAGTCAAAGGCTGACTATACATTTGGTTTAAACGCGGCCTTACTTTAGTAACAGTTTTAGACGGATCTCAGTTCATGGTTTCACTGTTCTCTTCACCGAAGAACTGTTTCTCTTTCCTAATAAGATTTCATTCATCCCACTTTTTTGGCACTGACAACAAAACACGCGTAGTATGTTGACAGGTTAATTTTAACCTGAATTGATGGCCTTATTATGAGTGGAGTAAAGTTGAAAACAATGCTGTTAAAGTGTGACGTAAACAGAGTAGTAATTTTCAATCTTAATTGAATCTATTGACAGGTACATGATATATTTTATGATGTTGAGATTACGTAATCTAATAAAACATTCAGTTCAGCACCTATTATTATTTTTACTTCTATTAGTTGAAAGAAACTGAGTACTCATTAAATAAATGTTGAATACGAAAGCGATACTATGAATTCTATAATCAAAATCAAAATTTATTTACTCAATTTAGGCTTTTACAGAACACTTGTGAAAGTCGAAAACTACGCCATCGGTTCGCAAAAATACGGCGGGAGACCTTGTACTGAGAAGAACCGGCAAGAAACTCAGCAAGGGCTGTTTTTTTCTCCCTGTTTTATTTCACACAGAGAAGTCTTATTGAAAAGTGACTTCATTAGAATATGAAGTCACTTTCCATTACAATATTAGAAAACAAATACAATAAAGTTAAAATATTTAACACCATGCCTTTTTGTCATTTAGATATTCCTTAACGGTATAATATCCTTTACTTTGTAGAGAATTTTTAATATGACTTTTAAAATGATTTATTGGCAAATCTAATACGTCACTGGGGATCTTGTTAAAGTATTGTATACCTTGACCCATGAAAGAACCTAATACCTTCTGTGACCTGTAAGAAGGCATTACTAGTTTGTTTTTATTTCTAGTGTTAAGTTTGTGTACATCACTATGTTTGATACACACATTAATATTGTTCCGGACGAAAAGTATACAACTATATATAAATTGAGATGTGACCGTCAATATTCCAATTTCTATCTAAGAGATATTCGCAAGCCCAACTGATAGATAGCTATATGAAGTTATTTCGATAATAATTAAAGATTTTAATGAGTTCGTAATAAACAGTGTCGATCACAGGTGACTGCAAAGACACGTCGGTAACCCAATTTTGACATTTGGTGTCAATATACATAGGTATGTATCGAGCGACATCAAGCAGGGCGACAAGTTGCCTTGTACCCGTATGCATGTTGTACAATCTTCTAGGGATGAATTAAAACTGGCCCGGCGAATACTTCGGGTTCCTGGGCACCATCCATCGGAGGATAAGCCCTTGTTTTTTTTAGTTTGGTATTCCCCCACCCTCAGTATGGGAGAGCCCCACACATCCCCTGCCGTCCTGTCAGCCGGCAGGGATAGTGCATCAAAACAAAAAGAGCTAAATCTGGTCATCGCATTATTCCCTAAATATACTTAACTGTCAATCAGAAGCACCTCTTTAAAGTAGTGCTTCTTAACCATTTCGTCATTAGGGACCACTTTCTATCTTGCCATGGCAAATGTTTTCCTTTTTTCTGGCTTCTTTTCGGCCATTCGATCTGTTCCATATATCATTTGATGCTGCTGGCCCAGTAGATTCCACCATCTTATACTAACATGTCTTTTCTAACAGCAATGTAGATGGAATATTTCTTTATTACAATATTCTTAAATGATGTATTAGCGGAATGTGGAAAGTTTTTTTGTAGCCAAGCATTTCAGGTTTGTTGTTGTTTGTATGGTTGTGGACTTTTTTGGGTAAATGAAACATTTACTAGTTAATTAGTATAATCAATTATGATAAAACACATACCTATGTCTGTTTATTCGAACGCGATAAACTAAAAAAATACTAGCAGGATTTATATGTGTATGTTTTTGATATTTCCCACTAGAAGTCATGTTGTATTCAAGCAAATTCGGGGTGGATTGCTAGTTATTATAATTTCCTCGTTTTTGGCATCTTTACCTAATAGAAAAATATTATGTTGTTTATTTCTTGGCAGTCCTACATAGTCCAGTGACCTTAGGTGACGCTCACATGAGTCAAGACCAGCTTCGTATTATGACCAAAGATCATTATTGTTAAGAGTCATCTCTAAACTTATTCGTCACGTCACGTTTCATTTTTGCAATTCACTTTTGATAACTTTCTTTAATTATTATTACAGCAAAATAACAAAGTGATATTATAGGAAATAATTCATTGACATTATCAAAAAGATAATATCTTTGATATTATCAAATAATACTAAATACATTGGGAGTACAATTCATATTTTCCTATGGCGTTTAAAGCGAGCGAGTAGCTCTTCTCGCGCGGTTCTGTCTTAATTCATTTGTCGGAGCCAACTGGTTGAAACAGTAGTTTCATTACAACATAACGTTTATAGTACGGCTAAACAAAATTCAGTCTAATGGTTATTCCATACATTTATAATAATCGCGCGGATACAGCGCTACTCACACACGATTAATACGACAAATGTGAAAGCAGTATTTAATAATTGAGAAAAAATATGGTGCCGAATACGGTAGTACTATAGTAAAGATTTGGGTGTTTATATAGTATTACCACAGTAAAGAGTTTCGTAGCTCCCCTACGACACAAAAAAGGTGAGAAGGTGCCTAATTTATCATAACAAACCGCCCTTTTTAGATACCAACGATATTATATAGAGTATTATATAGATACCAACATATTCTAGTAGTTTTTTTAATCCGAATAGCATAAAATATTACTTTTATCGTTTATTATTATTGTTATATTTAGGATTAAAAATTGTTTCCGCATGGTTTGAACTGAGTCTTACCACAAATTCTGTGTGATCTCACCTTTTGTATTTGTATCTCGCATACGATTGACACGAGCAGTCTCTGCGAAACATCAGCACAACATGACTGTGTGCATCACGTAAACGGAGCACTATAAGACTAATACGACTTAGAAGCAATATTTAAGATAGAGAAAATGGTGTATTACGGGTTCTTTACCGTGCCACAGTATAATAAGGGTTATTTACTGTGCATGTGCTGGTCGAGTTGTATTCGAATGTTGAATAACGTAGCTTAAAGTAGTTTGATAGCTTGAAGGGTGATGTTAAATATACTGTTCAGATGTGAGACGCGGGGCATGTGGGGCGCGCAGGCGGGGTGGTGGTGCGGCGCACTGGCGGCCGCGGCGCTGCTGCTGCTGCTGCTCGCGCTGCGCCGGCGCTGCGCTCGCACCAAGCATAAGCGAGTCTGTGTGCACCAGGTAAGGATCTACAAATATCAGGTACAGAAACAGCCAACGAATATGGCATGTCGGGAATCTCCGTTTGCGCAACATAACATTCAGATGAAAACCTAACGTAAAATAAAAATTATAATATCATAATGGCCGGCACCGCCTTTCCGTTGATCTAGTGGAATTGAGAATGTTGGTCACCTCGCGGGTGGGGGAGCTCATGCATGTGAAGCTTACCTAGACGAGTAGACCCGTGTAACAATCGGGTAGTTGTTCTGTACAAACTTGCAAAGATTCTTTTCTGGATATGATTTAAGAATAATAACACACAATAGCACCACCGAATGTCGTATTTGATATGACCAATATTAAAGTATAGGTGACTGCTAAAGTATATTTAAAGTAGACCCGCGATTATCTAAACTCTCAATAATCCAAACACTGACTTAGTTTATCCGATCGTGTTGGCAAGAAACGATGGAAGGTAGATCGATATATCTGCCTTTTAACAACCACCCACAAAAAATTCAGATACTCCGTGATCACAGCGCCGAAATATGGGAAAATGAATAAAAACAGGTACATGGTAGCAATCCAATGTAAACGACCATGAAAGCTTAAAACAACATACTTTACTGTTTTATGTGTAAAGGTATTATTTTTGTTTGATTTTATCGCAAGACAACCCACGTTCCGATTATCCGAACTAATATAGTGGTGGCCATATAATTAAGAACGATTTGTAGTTATAGATTTTTTTTAATGAAACTTACCATATTTTTTTTAAATATTTCTTTTTTGTAAGTATTTACTTACGTATTCAGAGAGCCAGTTAGTTAAGATAAACATTAAGATAAATAGTATAGACATAAAATTAGTAACTTTTTTTTGTTGTAAAAGTATATTTATTGTGGATTTATTGTGTTATTCACTACATAGTATTAAACAAAGCCGCTTTCTCTGTCCCTATATCTCTATGTATGCTTAAATCTTCAGCAAAGGGTAACATTGTTTCTTCCAATATATTTTTGTATTGAATTTGATCCAAGTTTCCTTGTATAAGCTTAATTGGCTCAATTTAATGATCACAGAAGCAACCCCAAATTTCAGGTTGCCACCACCATGTTTTTAAGTCACCTTAGTAAACTAATGTCAAATGCCGTATTAAAAAGGCGATGTACGTATCGTATTCCATCAGAGCACACTATTTAGTTTCGTTTCGTCAGAAAAAAAAGTACATTAGATCACTGTTTAACTGTCCAGGTTTCTTACTTTTTTGCAAAGGGCGGGCCGGGCTCGCCTATGGCACTGTTTAAGCATAGATACCTCTTGCTATTCTGCCGTACAACTGTTTTTCTACTAAACACCTTCGAATAGTGCGTGCCGAGTTCGTAGAGGGGTTTCCTTCGCAAAAATATTCTTTTTGCATGTCATTAGACCCTTTGAAAGGATTTGATTTCGCCAAACGAATGATGTTTCTGTCGTCTCGAAGAGATGTTTTTCTCCGGTCGTGGTATGCGTGGAATATTTAAGATACTGTTATAAGTTTTAGAATGTTTTACAGCATTGAATATCATGGCTTACGAACATTGTAGATGGTCATCTATTTTTAGATAAGACCAATTGTTCTCCCAATTTTTTAATATAATTTCCCTTGTATATTGGTCGCAACTTTTATTATTTCTCATTATTATTTTCAAAATTACGTTTCAATTGTGTTTACACTACTAAATGGCGCAAGTTTTATAAGAAAATAGAATAGCCATATAGTGTACTTTGTTTTAATTTGAATTAAAAAAAAATAGTTAGCGTTCTTAATTATATGACCAGCCAGTAAGAAGTAATTCTTGGATTTTTACAGTTGCGTAATTTATACTTTTTTATTTGTGGCTTAATAAATCTAAATTATTGAAGAAAGTACCAACAATGAAAAAAAAATTTCGGAGTACCACAATAATAAAAAAATACATCTAACAAGGTATATTTTTTTTAAATAAATGTACTATTTTCAAGGGTGCTTTCTTAATTATATGGTCACCACTGTATCTAGTAACTACAGCTATACTCGATCCCAATTAGTTCGGATAATCAATGTTTTACTGTGTTATATTTTAAGCTCATCGTCAATTAGTTATAGTTTAAGGCAAAGCATTTTGTTTACCAGGCTGTTGTCATTGTTTTTTTTTTATTTAGGTGGTCAATGCATGCATAAATCTTATGTTTCAGGTGCACATAGTCCGTTGTGTGTCAGTGGGCAGCGGTGGCCCGCAGGTATCGTGCCCACCGCCTCCTGCCGTGCCCTCCCCCGCGCGTCTCGCCCTTGCCGGCGCCCCACCGCCGACCGACGATCCACCTACACTTCTTATAGTTCGCGACTCAGCACAGAACACTATAGCAACTACGACCAGTGCGACAACTACGAACACAGCTACGACTGCTACGTCTACTACGACGACCTCTTTAGAAACACAACCTTCTTCTTCAGACTCTCAAACCGAATTTAAGGGACTACCAAAACTCCCGTTACCGGAACAGTGGTTGCATAAACGACCACTTGACTGCAAGTACTCTGCGACTATACCACGCCCGCTCGCACAAATTGTGAGCGAATTAGGCGCTGAATTGAACCAAGAATCTCGCGCTAAAAAGTACAGCGCGACTCGTTCACCTTCCTTAGAAAAGGACGATAAATCCCCCTTCCTCGGTAGCGCGAAATCTGATAAAGAAGTGTTCGGTTTCGAACCGGACTCGGTTAAGAAGCTGGCGAGTGAAGATCAGGAAGATATGAGCGAAATGACCTCCCCAAAAGATACGGGGGAAAGAAACCAAGAGTCGCCGGGGAACCTTAGAAGATTTAGGTCTGTGAGCACGAGACTTAATATGTGCAGTGTCAATGAAAACCCTCATTTAGAAGGCCACCAGGAAAGATTAGAGATGCAGAATTCCCCTAGGATTTTAGAATGTAGTTCTGCTAAAGAAAAGTCATCTGCTCCCAAATTTGATTTTTCGCCAAAGCTCCTTGCAGACAGTTTAAGTTCCCCGCGCTTCTTCACTCCTCCAGAGATGGTATCGCCAGCTTTCTTTGCAGAACCATCTCCAAAATCGGTTTACTATGACAGCGTCAGGTCTCCGAAATTCTTTCCAGAAACGCCGCGCGATGTTGAAGTACCCCAGTCTCCCAGGACTTTGAGCGACAACTTAAACAGAAGTAACGGCTTCGAAAAACCGAGTTCTCCTCGGGTGTTGAGCGCTAGACCTAGTCCTAAAATCCACAGCTGTAACAAAGAAAACTATTTTACATTTGAACAAGTTAACCTTACCGAAGATACGTCAAGAGCGTCTCCACGACCGAGAAAATACGGAGGAAGAAATTCTATAGAACGAGAAAGGTTTACACCGCCTGCTGACAAGGAAGTGAAAAAATACCGACGACATAACAGCTGTGAAACTAATTACAAAAATGTAGAATTAAATATAACAACGTGCGACGATAATAAAACTAATGAGGACAAAGCTGTACTTATAGATAGTGACGTGGTAGACTGCTGTGCCAAAATCGAATCTCTGCGTGTTGACGCAGAGCCTGAAGACAAAAGCGAATTGACGCCGACTCATTCTAATAGCGCACAAGCGCGACGACAAAGGTTGAAGTCTATTTCACTGGACTCCGATAATGCGAAAATAATAGAACAAAATTTAGGATTACCTATAGCTAAGCAGATGAAAGATCAAATGAACGAAGCTTTTAAAAATCAGGATATCAGTACTTCATATGAAAGTTTAGAAAGAAGAGAGGATTATCAGAAAACTCTGCCTAGAGAAAGGCCTGTGTTCAAATTTGAAGATGACAAAAAAGATAAAGCTTCCGAAGAAGAGGACGAGCCCAAATCGCCAGACTTAAAACATAAAAAGAGCTTACGTCAGAGCTCTGATACTCAATCGTTTATAGATATGCCCAGGTTTTCACCTAAAGAATTCGAAATAACAGTAACATCCGAAGAGGGTGCAACAACTACTGCGGACACTCAAATGAAAAAGAAAGGAAAGAATCTGCGAAACCTTACAATAGATTTGACAAAACGAGACAGTGAGTTAGAAAAAGAGCTACTGGAGTTCGAGAAACTTTACACTGATGCTGAGGAGAAGAAAGTTAAAACACCAACTTTAAAAGTCAAAGCTACCTCACTAGATTCTTCTGAAACAGTCAACTTATCTTTGCCTCAAAAGAAGACTTTAGAAGTTCCTCAAAATTCTGTGTCTGTGCCTAACACTCCTAAAAGGCAACTGAAAAGAATACTGGCACAAAAGAATGTCAAACCTGATTTCATAGGAGGGAAACTTGGTTATAATACCTTACAATCGAATGCCGAACATAGACGTTTGTATATGAAAGGACAAGACAGCGGTATATTCTTAAGAGAAAACCATGCGTCATTAATGTTATATCAGCCTGGGCCTTCCCGTATCGGATCTCGCACAATGAGTTCGTTCGAAGAAAACGTAGTTGACTTGGAGAAGGCACCAGAAATAAACATACTTGTAGCCGATAATCGGTACCATATAGAACCGGGGTCTACATTAGGTTCTAATTTATTAAATTATAAGCAAAATCTAAGTGTATCCAGTACAAATTTGAAAACCTTACCGGAAGGGGTACCTTCTGATGATTTCGAGCCGAACGCTGAAGAAGAAAAGTTCGGAAAGAAATTGCACCGAAGGAACTCTAATCAAAGTCTCATGCTCAGTACGCATAGCTTACAATCTTCTAACTGCTCGCTGAACAGCGCAGGTGCATCCTGCCATAATTTAGCTTCAGTACGGAATAGCATATCAAATTTTAGCCTTAATTCTGACTCTAGGCAAAAGAAACTCTCATTGGAACGCCGTGATTCTAATACCTCCCTAATGAACACGGAACACTTAACGCCGACGACTCGTGTAATTTGCTCTTCGAACACTAATCTTTCTGGTGAAGTGTCCAAGAACTGCTTATTGCAAAGGAGAGGATCTAATAATAGCCTTACGTTAAACATACAATCTACGAACACACTGAGTCGACATTCGAGCAACAGTTCCTTAAACAAAGAGGTGAAATTAGGTCAGAAGAAAGGCTTGTTAGAACGAAGGAGTTCAAATACGTCTCTGACATTGAATATTAACACGTCGAATCCGCAGTTGTCAGTCAACAGAGGTCTCAGTATTTCTAACTATAACTTGAACGGGTCTACGTGCAACTTGAGTAGGTACAATAGTAACCACAGCATTGATAACGCACCAGGGGAACCCCGGAAAGGCATCTTAGAGAGAAGGAGTTCCAATACTTCCCTTACTTTAAACATTCAACCTCAGGAGCCTAGAGACATAGAAATAGATGAAAATTTAATAGAACCAAAGCTAAAAGATCTACCTCATAGAGATAAACATAGAAAATCCCTAAGTACTGAGAATTTGATACCCAAATCTTATAAGACTCGTACTCGATTGCGCTCTGATGAGAAATGCGTAGGCTTCGGCTCACACGATAATCTCTGGTCGACTTCTTATCAAGATCAAGAGTATCCACAAAACTTGACATACGTCTGTGGTGATCAGGAGAACGAGATCATTTACGCATTCGGAAGGCAGGAAGACCCCAATTATCAGGCTGGTTTCATTAGGAACATAACTACTAAGCCTCTAAGTCCTCAAAGCACTTCCGAGGATTTCAGATTGTATTTAGCCAACATGCAACATTTACAAAACGCCTCCAGCGTACTTTCGCGGCAACAACTCCGGGATCTGAATGATGTATTCCAAAATGGGTATTCGAAAGTGAAGTGTATTAGTACTACAGAAGGCCAACACTGTTGTTCGGGAAGAGTAGAAGATATGTCTAAAGAGAATCCTCAGATGGTCATCCCTGATCCTGTACACTCTCAGCCCTGTTCTGAATATCAGAAGATGCTGCTGAGGAATCTGCATCAAGAGTTTTGGGATATGCCAACGAATTTCCAAGAGAAACCAATAGTCTCTGGTTCTCATCCTAAAAATAGGTACAAGACAATTCTTCCAAATGAACATTCGAGATTCATTTTAAGAGGATATGCAGGTACAGGAGAAGGATATATCAATGCCAATTTTATTAAGGTTAGTACAAAATGTTTTCATCAAATATGCTATTTGTACGTTAACTATTCTGCTTGTGAAATTGTGGTTTGTGGGTTCGAATCTCGCAAAAGAGCATTCTGTCAGATACTTGAAAGTGTTTGCATGAAAAAAAAAACAAAAATAAAAAAAATGTTTATTATAGATCACATTCACTTATCCTGTCTACCACTATTTCAAAACTGATTTAAATTATATAATTCAATACTTTGATAATGCCAAAGTTAGGTCTTTTCATATAGTTGGACTTTATAGGATCAAAAACGAATATTGTGACATTATCTTATACATACACATACAACATCTTTTATTGTCAAACAGTAAATAACAAGTACATAACTAACAATAAACAAAGTATTTACTAAATCTTAACAATTATATTTCAGGGGCATGAGTATACCAAAAACAGCTACATAGCTACCCAAGGCCCTCTCCAGAACACCATTTATGATTTTTGGCTGATGGTATACCAGAACAATATGGAATATCAGACCCCACCTTCTTCACTGCATACTGTCCAAAAAATCGTCATGCTCACCAATTTCATAGAGAATAACAGGCAAAAGTGTGAAAAATATTTTCCCCTGGAGTTAGATGAAGAGATCTCCTTTGAGAACCCTGACGACTCAGACACTGAAGAAGGAGGATCAAATAATGTTTTCGTGATAAAAAACTGTGGTATGGTCAAAAAAGAAGGTTATACAATAAGAAGGTTAGATGTGAAATACAAGTCTAATGTCGACAGTGTTAGTAAAATAGTGTATCATTATTGGTTTCACAATTGGGCCGATCACAAATGTCCCAAAGACGTGAACGCACTTCTCAACTTGAGTTTAGACGTTTTAAAAGACTCTATGTATAATTTTGACGAGTGTAGTGATACGAACGCACAGATATGTAGATGTGATAGCCCTAAATCGGACTCTAAGTTTATTTTCCCTCCCCTGGATGCTGAGAACGTACCCTGTGAAGTGAAAGTGAATGTGGCCACCCCCCTAGACTTTTCGGTAGAGCAGCATTCCCCACCGACTATAATACATTGTTCAGCTGGTATCGGTAGAACGGGATGCCTCATCGCCATACTCAACGGTATAAAGCAATTGATAAACGAACAGAAAGTTGATGTGCTCGGCATAGTTTGCAATATGAGGTTGAACCGAGGTGGTATGGTGCAGAATTCTGAACAGTATGAGTTAATACATAAGGTTTTATGCTTGTTCGAGCAAGCTTGCTTGCCAAAATTATAGCTGAGTGAAGCTGAGCTGACATTTTGATAAACAACTTTTTTCTTAGTGAGAATTTATGATATGTAAAAATTTTATTCAGGGTATATTTTTGACGTTGTAAAGGTTTCCATTTTAGGGAGGGACATACAATTTAGTTCTAGGTTATTATATAGTTGAAATATTGATTACATAGTGTTTTTATACCACCTTTTAATTACATTTACATTAATAAGCCACACTTAATAATTTTAGGAAAATTAAATGCAAACGACTTTTTAATTCATATATATTGAAATGACAAAAACTAAAGCCTATCATAAAATCTATTTTATCTTGTACAATCTAAAAAATAATTTTGTTGTTGAATACTCAAGGTCTCATCATAATTTTAATATCAAAATGTTGGCTATACCAATTCTTTAATAAAACATTAATGTTCTCAGTGTACAACTATACATTAGTCAAAGCACAATATAATATCTGAATGCAACTTACAAACTACTTATTTTAGAAAGGAGTATATTACATAATTGATTTTGGGCTATATTGCTACTAACTCCTTGACCGAGTCATTAAACAGTAAGTTCCAACTAATATGGCGCATGATGACAAAATTTATTTATATTAAGTAAACAGCAGTAAACAAATTAACAAATTTCTCCACATAATGTTAAACCTTAATGCCTTGAGGGTAGAGTTGAAAATCAACTGGAGTAATTTTGACATATTGTGGTAATCTGACATGCAGCTGTGTGTACATTGGATGAGCCATATTAGTTGTATCCTACTGTAGTTTTATGTTATTATTGTGTTACAGTACACAACTATCACTCGCTACCCTAAACTAGTAAATGTTTTAAACATTTTTGACGAAGTGTTTTCGTGAAATAACGGACAAATATTTATTTGTTATTGTAAATGTGTCGTAAGTATTTTACATCGAAATTTTTGAGATGGGTATAAATGTTTCTTACGTTTGTATTTAGTAATTCCTCATTAATAAAAGTAGAAAAATTCCCTTGTATAAATTATTTATTTTGCACAATTTTTGATGTAGTAAAAGTTTACTTGTATGTTAAGTTAGACGATATTATTATAAAATATATAACTAAGTATATAATTGTATTTCACATAATTATAAGTAACTAAGTGTTGTAGATAGATGATTAGTTATTTCTTTTATTTATTTTGTGTTGTTATTGATAATAAATTTTATACTTTCAATATAAAAAGAAAAATAGATTGTTTTTACAATACGTGTGTTAAAAATATAAATATCTTTTTAAAGTTTTGAGTCCTAACTTACTTTGTGTGTGTTGGTTAAATATCAACATAATATAAAGTAAAATGCTATAACTTTTTTATTGAAAAAAATATCACTTAATTCTGTAGATAACTAATTAGGCGTAAATTTTCTGATTTTAGTAAAATATATAGCTAATATTTGTTCGCACGCGCCACTTGAGTTTTTAATCATCTTGAAATGGAGATATTTTATTAATTTCATATCCTACATCTATCTTTTTCTTTATTACCCTTATCGATAAGCAATTTATAATCATTTTTGAAGTTATAAATATGTTTTTAGTTGAAAGTAAAAGAGACCACTATAACTGCATCATGCTTATATATTGCTTATAATTAAGGCCTTCTTAATGTCTCTATAATTTTGCAATCTTTTCACCCTTATTGCTCAATAAATGAGGGATATGATGATAATGTTATTCGATTCATTAAAAATCTTACAGTAAATATAAGCGCCATTAAGTAGAATAAACTTCTTAGCAACAGAAACAAGGTAGGTAACTTAAGAAATAAAATATGAATACCAACCTTGTGGTATTCAGATAGAGCTCAAATTAGTATACATAATGTTTACAGTACAATGAAATAGTTTTATTTATATTCGGTGATGCTATTTTATTTTAGACGTGGGAGTATATTCGCGTATGAAACTTGACAATATATTGATTAAAAAAGTTTTTTTTTTTATTTTCTTTGTTAATAGATTTTATTATTGTTTAAAGTGAATCGATTAATTTTCAAGGCGATTGTTATGTTAATTTACGGAATTGAGGGTTGTTATTGATTTAATTAAACAACTATATAAAAATATATATATATTGGAAATTCACACAATGAAATTTTTTATAAATTCATTATTGTGTATATAAATGTATTTATTTAATTGTAAGCTAACATAATGAAAACAAGAACACCAAATTTTTAGAATAAATATGTAATTTTTAGATATATAATGTATATAATTAACTATGAATTTTCATATTATGCCATTGTATGTGTATAGCTAGTATTTAAATATTCGAGAGCTTGTTGTCGACACTTAGGTTCTGTTCCCCTGGCGGCATGGCAAGACGGGAATTTACATTAACAGGGGAAATGCCGTAATATATTTATGCATATCGCTAATTGCCAATTAAGAGAAATGCGCGGAAACCCTCAATCATAACTATAAGCATCAATATTGTGAACATTATCAAAGACACACACGTCTCAGCCTCTGTATGTATTTTGCGAAATCTCTTTATATCTTCATGCCAGATCCTTAGCGCTAAAATCACAATAGATCGAATTAATGTAACTTTACCAGATTGCATCTCTACAACAAGCAGCAAACAGTTTTTTAAACATCAGACGTCTTTCACAGAGCAGTACGCAAAAAGTAAAGTGATGGTGGGCACATCAGCAATTTCATATTTTTTTAATTCGGGATTTGAAGAGTGTAATTTTATCCAATAATATATTATTGCTGCATATTTGGAGTATACTTACATACTTATTATTAATGATTAAAGAGGCTCCGATGAAGTGCGAGAGCTCTGTTACTTTTGGTATGCTTCTGCATGTTAGGAATCCACGTGTATTATGTTATGATTTTAACTTTATACCAGTGGCCATAAATTATTGTTTAATGTAAATGTAACGCAAATGGTCTATATGTCTAGCCGATCCAATTTCCAAATTCTGTCGATACGATTACTCTAAGCATTCCGCAGACTTATTTTGTACCTTTATCATTGAAATTTAAACTGAACAATCAATAAGTTACAATCCCTTGCCGTATCTTGCCGCCAGTGGGCGCAACCCCTTAAGATGGTACGTGTCGTTTTAAATTATTTTTAAGCGGCAATGGATGGCATTGGTTTAAACGTGAGTACATGGCGGCACTAGTGTTCCAATTTGGAATTTGATGTTTGTTTATGAAAAAACCTCTGGTCCGGAACAGGTGTTTCAGCATTTCCGCACTGCGTACTGACTGGTGTATACCTTTAGTACTTCAACGGTTGAAATATCAAGCTTTCGAAAACTCTCGTACATTTTTGTCACGATCTCTTAGACTATATTTATAATAATTGATATATGTTGCCAAAAGTTTGATCCTCAAACAAACACTTATAAGTTTAATCATAACTATAAATATAGTGTGTTATAATAATATCTAACATCGCCAATTACTTTTATTCTTTGAATATGATGCATAAATATATCACTAGTGCGTGCATATCATAATTTTTTAATCTGCTTATTATAACCCCAACGCCACCTATTGGTGCTCCAAAATAACTTAACGGTGACAATCCACCATAATACTATTTATTAAAAACTAGGAATAATTCATCCGAAATTTAAACTATGAGAGTTGAACGAGAGGAATCTTTTCCATAGTGTAGTAATGAAGCAATTTAGTGAAATTTGGATACGTATCAACTAGATGGCGTTATTAGATAGATGTTTTAGACAATGTATTTCAGTTTTGAAGCCAGAAAAAGATTACCTAGTAGGTAAACCAGAGTTGCGAACGCCTAATTATTAAATAGAATAAATTTTTATTTGGCAACACACATCACATACACAATTTACATACAGCTTATAAATATGACAGAAAATAATTCTTACTAGCCATCAGAAATATCAGTACTTATAATCTAATTAACGCCATCTCTTTTGTAATTATCGAAATTGTATCCTGCTTACAACTGCAAGATATTTAAATATGGCTCCAATCAAAGGTATTGCCGTTTCGAACAAAAAAAAAACATAACACTAGATTACTTTTCTTTCAGATAATAAACTCAGTAGGGTAAAAATTCTACATGTTCATCTTGTATTCGTGCATTGTGTACCTTCCTAAATACGTTGCAATTACCTCTAATGTCCTGTTGCAACTTATGGTGTAAATGAAAATGTAAGTGAGAACTTTTTAAATGAATGTAACATAGTTACGTACCTAAAGAGGGTTAAATATCTTGATAATGTTTTGTGCGTTTTTATCCGTTTGTATATCTATGTGTGGTAAGTCAATAAATTGAAGATGGTAACCGTTGAATTTATTTCCAATTACCCATACCCATGCTTTTTACCAGTCATTGTACCTAGGCTAGCCATAAATTCTGTTACAAAGAAAATATCCGACAATTTCTATAAAAAAATATATATTTTAAAGTTTTATATGTGATTATGTAGAGTGAAAAAGTCCACCCTTAGCTTTAATGCACGCTGTAAAATGGTCGGGCCATTCGTCGATGGATTTACGAACGGTTTCCATTGGAAACTTGGTCACTACTGCCTCCAAAGATTCCTTGAGCGACTCAATATCTGGGTGCCGCTTAGAACAGGCTATGTCCTCTAGCACAGACCACAATTTATAGTCCAAAGGGTTTAGGTCCGGACTAGCCGAAGGCCAATCATCAACCTTTATGAAGTCTGGAACATTTTGCTCAAGCCAAATTTGGGTAGTGCGCGCCTTATGACCCGGGGCTGAATCCTGTTGGAATTGAATTGAATAAGATCTTATTGATTGGTATAACTACCGCTTCTAATACGGTGTCTTCATACACTGGCTGAAGTTATCACTCCTTTTTCGCTTTTGTAACTCCTTGGTAGGAGACACCCCACCAAACCACGTCGTATGCTGGATGATGGTCTCGCTGAACTTTGGCCACTATCTCGGAAGGTTCTTAAGAGCTGTGTACATACACACGATCATATTATTTGTTGTAGTGCTCCTCGATTGTAAACATTTTTTCATCGGTGTCGGTTTCATGTAAAAATTAAATGGGAAGAATTTTTCTATTTGTAGTCCGCGTATCGAAGTAACAGCTGTTTTGATCTTTCGACTTTCTTTTGTTTGTGTCTGATTTAAGGTATGTCCTCTCTTGTTTGATAATCCAAGAAAGGATCCTTGGTGGGATTCTCATTTCTCTGGAAAGGATTTTCTGTTTCCTTATGGGATTTCGACGAATTCTGGCCTTTACTGCATTAACGGTCTGATTTGTTCGATTAGATCGCAGTCGGCCGGATCTCTCACGATCATCAACAGACATGGTTTCAGTGTACCTTTGGATGGTACTATACACAAACATTCGGCTAATCCCTAGCTTTTTCAATGTATCAAAAATGTCGGCTCGCTCCTTACCTACTTTGTACAGTCCAATTACTGCAATCCTATTCTCTTTATTGCCCTACTCCATTTTCAAAATAAATAATGTATAAACAAAAAACATACAGTAATGGCAGGAAATATGTTTTTTTTAAATCGTAGAAGCTAATATACGTAATTTAAATTAATGTTTTTTTTTTTAATGTATGTAAACAACCAGTTACAGAATTGATGGCTAGACTAGGTATATAATACCAAAAATTTTATGCATATTGTACGTGATACTCGTGTATAATTCATAATTAGTATTTAAGTTACTCTAGTGAGTTACATAATGGCAATCATACGAACATATTAACGACATAGGTCAAGGTTAAATAATGTTGATGACGCCACCGTGTGGTCATACGAATAGTGTTTTACCACCTGAGATGCACTATGCGGTTAGGGAGTAAAAGCTATTAGTTCACTGTCGAATTTAAAACACGCATTCTCCATATAAAAATCTTGATTAGTTGAATTCCACCTTTGCAATGATCTATATAAGACTTTGGTTGATATTATTCGCATCCGTAGCATAGTACATTATCTGGTGGAAAAGTAACCTATATGACGAGATAAACAAAATATTTTGTAATAACGTGATAATAAGTATAACATTTTTCAAGTAATTTATCGTCAAAGTAAAGGCAAAGTGTTAACTGTCCTAAATATAGCGATATGAGTTTGTATTTCTACTTATTTTTTTTTAAACATGCATTTTTATTATATATTTGAAATCCGGTTCAAATTGTTTTTTGGTCCTTCGAGCCGGATTAATGCAGTCTATATTTCGACAGGGGGCGAAAAGGCAAAAGACTGTACCTAACTATCTAAAGGATAGCGAATCGCGCGGCAAAAATGTGTAAAAATTAATGGCTCGCTAACTATTCTTCCGAACCCAAGGCTCCCCTGGAGGACACCCTTGGGGGTGCAAGGGAACTTTAATTCGGACCAATGGCACCCCTAGTTTAATTAGTGCAGTGCTCTTGAATATAATAATCTATATTACCTAGTAATATGGTACTCGTATATTATGATTTTATCTATTGTAAAAGCTCTGCATAATTACGTCGGCTACAAAACTATACTCATCAATTATTCCTCAAAAACACATCCGTTACAAACTTAGATAATCTGAACACAAATGTGTGTTCAATAATAAACAAACAAGGAAAATACGCTGGTACCTAAGTATTTAAAATACATCACGCGCTAATAGCCTGTAGTATTTGACGCTGTGACTCTGTAGAGACGGTTACGATTTCCTTTGAGCATAGTATAATTTATTTTTTAGAGAAAATAATACATATACCCTTAATTTATTTCAAAAAATAATAATATAATGTTATTTTAGGAATAATCTCTTGTGAGTACTAATAAAACATGACATTAGTTCACTGTAACATATTAAGCCTTTGAAAACATATTATGTTTTCCAAAGTTTGGCTTCCTTCTGCAGATTTTTTTATATATACTTAGTACCGCGTATAAACGAGAACTAATAAAAATAAATGATCTATAAATATATTTTATTTCTTAATTTCAATTACGTTTTTAAGGATTTCTTTTGGTGAAAGTTGATGGTATTGATATAAAATTGATTGTGTATCTTTGACCTAATTTTGGCATTATATATCGTCGCAAAACAATTTACGTTTAGTTAAAACAGCATCTGGCTCATTGGTGATCGTCGTAGTGGGATTTTGATATAGAAAACTAGTGTTCTCTGGTGTTATTCAAGTTCGACAAATATATTAGGATATTCTTCACAGGGTGAGTAATTACAGTCAATTAACGTTGTATTATGCTTGCCCTACAGATTAGTTTTCAATAGAGATGAAGGACCTATAAGCAACAGCCCTACATGTTTAGGCTTATCGTTCGTTCGGGGCTCGATTCGGAATCCTATAATTTTTTTACTATGGTAGGTATTAATAATAATAATATTCTTTACTGCACACACACAGAATGATAAAAACAGTATACAAAAGGCGACCTTGTTGCTTCATAGCAATATCTTCCAGGCAACTTTTGGAGGAAAATAAATAATATAATGAAAACTAAAATATAGAATGAGTGCAACATGTGAAAGAAAAGAAATTAATACCTATACAATATAGATATTTTTAAATATAAAACTTAGATAGGGTATAGATAGGTAAGCGGTGCCTACTTTTTTATTTATAATGGGCTCACTATCGATCTAAATGGAGCCCAAAGGCATGAATGAAATCTACGGTGACAATGATGGTTTTTATTTATCAGTAGATGTTGGAAAACACCAACAATTTTATGAGGTTCTTTTGACCTTTTGCCCTTTTCGATTTCGCTCAGTTTATTTCATAATTTATAGAATGCTTTTTGATGATCATGTCGAGGGTGACGGGCACGTTATCCTCATCGTGGCAGACAATGTTTCGTCCAGTTTATTTCATAATTTACAGACTACTTTTAGTATGAGGTCGATGCCAACCATGTCATTAGTAATAAGTAAAACAGCACTGTCGGAAACAGATCGCAATTTTTAATTTTTTTTTGCATTTAGAACTAATTTAATTACTTGACATTGATAGAATTGTGCGAAACACGCAGATAGGCCATTAATAAAAGAAGAAGAACAGCACTGGCCGAAAATCTATTGTTCTCATAATATACATGATATTTTTCTTCTAAATATTTGGAACCGTCTTAATTATAAATTTTAATTATGACAGATTTGACATGGAAGTTTTTCTTCGTTGTCATAGTTGAATCTAAAATATCTAATACTCTTTATGAAAATTGACTCACAGTGGAATTAATTTTAAGGGGTTCTAATTTGAAATCGTTCGTTTCTAAGGTAGCTTTTTGAGCTCACCAGAGCTACCTAAATTCATAAATGGCTTATTTCCCGGAGCCGGCTGCCCCGGCAACTCTTCAAAGTTACGGTCTCAAAGCCGTAAAACACCTTTCTAGCTTTAACTAAACGACAACGACAATTCAATGATTCAACTGTAACCTCCTTCAATACCACGCCACCTGCAATTTTATCCCAAAATCTCCTCTCCTGGATGCTATTTTCGTGCGTACACCTGGAAGCCCGGAAGTTGCTGATCAATTCTGGGCATCAAACGGAACTTCGCGGCTGACCCACGCCCACTTCACTGGACCACCTTCACCACTGGCATACTCTTCACACTCACTACTCACCTCACACACCTCTCTTTATATTCTGTAGTTATTTTGCCCTCGTTTCATAACAAAGTGCCAAGTGCGGATTGATGGGTGTTATTAACGTTTGCAGATGCAGCAACAACGGCTTAAGAGAGTTTATAAGAGTTTATAAGAAATTTTATAAAACTACATCATATTTTTAAAGGTCCCTCACATGCCGAATTTCTTATCAAGTGCCTAATCACAAAATTTCTAACAACGAATGAACTTCCATTAAAACTTTTTCTTATTTCAACCCCTTCAACGCGCGCGATAAAAGGTAACTATTCTTTCCCAAAGTCAACTATATCTCATGTATTCAGTGCTTTAGGCGAGAAAGTAAATACATATTAATAACAACTACTAAATCATCTAATGTAGTTTCATCTATTGTTAAATTAAAAGTCGTAAAACCTATAGAATGGATAAGCTATAACATTCGATTTTAAGCCTACTATTATTATAGTTATAGGTACTTCTTACTTTGATTTATAAAGAAATACTTCTAAAATGATGATGTAATTGTACCAAATGTTACTATTTAAAACACGTAATTTCCATGTATTCGTAAACAGTAGGTACAGATTATTATTACTTATTGTATTTTATTATTATTGTTACAAAAAAAAGATTAATGTTAATGACCGCGTATTAAAAAGTATAATATCGATTTAAGTATGCAATGATACAAACGGGTACTTACTAATTATAAAAAGTAATTTCTGATGTCGTTCAAATATATGTTTGTGTATATCTAAAAGGTAATTATGATAAAACAAACTAAATATAATAATTTACGAATTTAAATGTAAGAAACACAAAAATTAGAACATTGATTGTGAACGACACTTGCTAAAAACTATGGTAGTATTGTAACGCTAATGAACAGCGAGTCAGTGTGGAATAAACTATTTATAGGTTTAAATTAATGCATCGCCCCAACTTCTGAGGTTATCCAATACCATATACCTACAAAGCTCATCCGATCGTTGAGTAACAGAATTAAATTGGTTCAAAAAATACCTAAAATAGTAACGTCCCTAGTTATGATGTAAAAAGCGTATATTAGTTACTCGACAAGACAATACTCACTCAATCATGTAGGTATTTTGTTGAAACTGTTTGTTCCTTATCAAAATAATATAAATATATATATATATATATATATTGACACGACGATTTGCGTATCCTTCCTACCTTTACAAATATTGTACAAGCAATTAGCGCGGGCTCACAAAGGCACATGTAAATAAAACACAGGAAGTAGGTAGGTACCAAAGCACGAGAACCTTCAATTCTGCTAATTAAAATATTGTGTTCGGTTATTGACTATTTTGGTCAACCGTTAATTTAAAACGATTTTACAGACACCAAGAAGTAGACAAGTTTTTCACTATCATTAACTTTTGCTGTGCGTCTTTTTTTCAATCAAACATGCTTCGTAGGACTTTTATCTTTTTTTACTTGATCATTGTTTTACTTCTAGTAATTTCTGAAAAATTAACATGACAAATTAACGTCTACTCACGCGCATCTCATCGGGCTATAAAACGATGACCTGCCAATGAATACGAGAAACAGAAATCGCCCGTACTTCACACGCGGATGCCGTCAACCAAGATGAATAGTCAAATAACTACGTCATAAGAATTTGTAGGGGTGTCACGATTGTCATGAAAGGTATATCCAGGACAATTAACCTCGTCACCACGGGCGCTGCTTCCAATACGACGTTATGACTATAATCAGCTTTCATGAAACGATTTTGTATTTATGATACGTGAAAATAACAAAATCAACAATAATAAATGTATTTTGATTAATTCTAACACTTTTTTGTATCACAAGTTGATGCCATGTTTTCACTGGATGAATTTTCACGAACTGACATTTAGAAAGAGCAAATCGCGTTACTTAAAATGTGAAATTACGAAAAGTGAATAATAAAAAAGAATTTATGTTAAAGATCATAGACAAAAAATTTGGATGCATATATTTCCACCATGTTCAAAATACTTTGCTACGATAGCGCCATTAAGCGCACTATAGTAGAAGTTACTCTGCTGTAGAATTTTCAGGTATTTTATATTTGAACATTTCATCACCACTCATCTTTTCCATGGACAACAATTCGACTATACGCAAGCAAAAACTAATGTATTTTGTTACATCATATTATTGAATGAATATATACTTACGTCATTACTGTTAATCAAATAAAAAAACATTATGACTACATTTCAAGTGTTTATTTTTATACTATCGGTACAATAGCATGTTTGTGTTGGTTTTGCTTGGTTTAAAAGTGTGCACGATTCCTTTTTTGAAATGCAATAATTATTATTTTAATTAAATGCATAATTCTTTTCACATAATTAACTCCATTCAAATTTTTACCAATCAAATCTTCCCAATGGGCCCCAGTATGAATCGTTCTCTTCTGCATTAGAATTTATGATTTGTTTTATGTGTGTATCGATTATAAAACTATTTCAATTGTGTAGTTATTTAGTATTACTTAACAGAATTCTAAACAACTGGGCTTGTTTCTTTCTCTTTAGTTTTTATTTAAGTTGTTTTTTTCATGTATTTTTTTAAATTCGTTTTTACGCAGTCGGGTTTTTTGTTTTTCTTTAAATTATTTATTTTTTCAAAAACTAGAGCCGACTTCATACTTTAGAAAAGTGATAACTAAATACTTAATCCTTATCTCAAAATTGACTTATTCAAGAAACTGCTATTTAAGTCGGGCAGTAATTTTTTGTATGATAGGCGTCCGATTTTCTTTATGTTATCGACAATATTTTTTCCCCTTTGAAGTTTTTCCAATAATCCATACTCATTTAAAGAGGAAATATTTGATTGCTTGTTTGTTTGCATTGGATAGGCTCCGAAACTATTGGACTGATTATAAAATTCTTTTAATTACAGAAGGCTACATACGGCTAATACTCAGGGAACATATAGCGGGGAGACAGCTAGTTTCATAGAAATTTGTACACAATTCAAAAAGAAATCAATGTATATACCAACTTACATATAAAATATACACACCCGTTAAACATAGAAAATATTCCTTTCGGAATTTGATTGATTGCAAAATTCGCAATCTTTTGTTTTTCGCTGATATAAACATGTCATTAAAATATTTGGGTGATATCTAATGAAAAGCATATTATGTTTTGTTATAAAAAGAAAACTATTCATTCGATTTCGATAAAATGTCTTTAAGCATTTCAATAAGCTGTCTAATGAAAAAATAATGTGATGTGCTTTTGTACGTCAGTTTGTTTGTTGTACCTCAGTCTGCAGAGAACAAGTGGACATTTTCAGCACCAACTATCATAAGATATCGGTTAATAATTAAATTAATGTATTTCCCGGTTCGGTGTAATCTGTACACAATCGATATAGTGTATGCGCATTATAGGGCTGTCAACACTTAGAAATTTAAAATTTTAACTCCATTTTACACGTCTCCTTTTTGAAATATTTGCATGTTACCTAACTTCTAACTTTCAATTTGGGGCTCCCAGTATAACCTCATTTTCGATTGTGAAGATGGATGACCTTGCGAAAGG